ATAACCCAGTTAAAAAATGGGCAAAGGATATGAACAGGCACTTTGCCAAAGAAGACATTCATCTGGCTAACAGATACATGAGGAAATGCACATGATCATTAGCCATTAGAGAAATGCAAATCAAAACTACAATGAGATACCATCTCACCCCAACAAGGCTAGCATTAATCCAAAAAACACAAAATAATAAATGTTAGAGAGGTTGTGGAGAGACAGAAACACTTATACGCTGTTGGCGGGAATATGAAATAGTACAACCACTTTGGAAATCGATTTGGCACTTCCTTAAAAAGCTAGAAATAGAAGTACCATAGGATCCAAGCAATCCTGCTCCTTGGAATATATCCTCGAGAAATGAGAGCTGTCACAAGAATAGGTATATTCACACCCATGTTTGTTGTGGCGCTGTTCATGATAGAAAAAAGATGAAAACAACCTAGGTGCCCATGAATGGACCAATGGATAAACAAATTATGGTATATTCACACAATGGAATACTATGCAACGATAAAGAACAATTATGAATCCGTGAAACATAACATGGAGGAATCTGGAAGGCATTATGCTGAGTGAATTTAGTCAGCCACAAAAGGAAAAATATTGTATAAGACCAGTATTACAAGAACTGAAGAAAAGGTTTAAACACAGAAGTACAAGGTTACGAGGCTGGGGAGAGAGGGAGAGGATTATTCACTAACTAGATAGTAGACAAGAATTATCTTAGGTGTAGGGAAGGACAGCACACACTACAGGGGAAGTCAGCACAACTGGCCTAAACCAAAGCTAAGAAGTTTCCTGAATACAACCAAACACTTCAAGGGATAGAGTAGTAGTGATGGGGATCTGGGGACCATGCTTTCAGGGGACATCTAGCTCAGTTGGCATAACAAAGTTTATTAAGAAAATGTTCTACATCCTACTTTGGTGTGTTGCATCTGGGATTTTAAAAGCTAGTGAGTGGTCATCTAAGATGTATCAGTTGGTCCCAACCCACCTGGAGTAAAGGAGAATGAAGAACACCAATGTCACAAGAAAGTATTAGCCCAAGAAACAGAAAGGGCCACGTAAACCAGAGACTTCATCAGCCTGAGTCCAGAAGAACTAGACGGTGCCCAGCTATCACCAATGACCGCCTTGACAGGGAACACAACAGAGAGTCCCTGATGGAGCAGGAGAAAAGTAGGGGCACAGAACTCAAATTCCAGTAAAAAGACCAGACTTAATGGTCTGACTGAGACTGGAGGAACCCCAGAATGTATAGCCCCTGGACTCTTTGTCAACCCATCACTAAAACCATTCCCGAGGCCAACTCTTCAGACAAAGATTAGACTGGACTATGGGACATAAAATGATACTCAAGAAGAGTGTGCTTCTTAGCTCAAGTAGATACATGAGACTAAACGGGCAGCTCCTGTCCGAAGGTGAGATGAGAAGGCAGAGAGGGTCAGGGGCTGGTTGAATGGACACGGGAAATCAGGGGTGGAAAGAAGGAGTGTGCTGTCACAGTATAGGGAGAGCAATTAGGGTCACATAACAATGTACGTATAAATTTTTGTATGAGAGACTAACTTGAATTAAGCCTTCACTTAAAGTATAACAATAAAAAGCAAAAAGAGAAGACCTGTACCATCCCTTACCATGTGACAGCCACCCAGGCTTTTATACCTTTAAAAAAAAATTTTTTTTTGGAAGATTTTAAGCTGCAAAAGCAGTACAATAAAAACCCTGTGATGGTCAATTTTATGTGTCGACTGGACTAGGCTGTTGTCCCCAGTCAGTCAATCAAACACCTAGGTGTTGCTGTGAAGATATTTTGTAGAAGTGATTAACGTCCAAACTGGGTGGGCCTGATTCAATCAGTGGAAAGGTCTTGAGAGCAGAACTGAGGCTTCTCAGAGGAAGAAGTTCCACCTGTGGACAGCAGCCTCAGCCTGTGCTGGAGAATTCCAGCCTGCCCTTCCTGGCTGTCTGCTCTACGGATTCCGGTCTCGCCTAGCCAGCCCCACAATCGCATAAGCCAACACCTTGCAGTAAACCTGATATGTATCTCCTGCTGGTTCTGCTTCTCTGGTTGAATCCTGACTCAACACACACATAGATCAATTGATACCCATGTGCTAATTTTTAACATGTGCTTTATCACATTTGCTTTATCTCTATAGATACAGACATACACATAAACATAAACATATAAAATTATATATGCACATATATATTTACTATAACTATGATTTTTTGTTGACCCATCTGAGAGTAAATTTGAGCTATTATGACCCTTCACCCGTAACTACTTCTGCCTAATAAAGATATACTTCTGAGAAAAAGGCATTTTTTATTTAACATAGCTTACAACACAATGAACAAATTCAAGAAATTTAACATAAATACACTATTGCTATTTAATTTCAGTCCTTTTTCAAATTCTTCTAGTTGTCCCATAATGTTCATGATAGCATTATTTCCCCATCTGGTCCAGTATCCAATCCAGGATCACACATTGCATTAAAGGAAGATATCTCTCTAGTCTCCTTTAATCTGGAACATTCCTAGCCTTTCTTTGTCTTTCATGACATTGACATTTTTGAAGAGTCCAGGGCAGTTGTGTTTTTGTAACACTGTGTATTATGTTTTATAGAATATATTGTTATAGTGATTTAGGTCTGTCTGATTGTTTCCTCATGATTAGACTCAGGGCAAACATTTTTGGCAGAAGCAGCACATGAGTGATGTTGTCTTTCTTGGTCTATCTCATTTTTGGTTTGTCTCTTACTGGTGATATTAACTTGGCCAGGTTTCTCCATATATGCTCCGCTTGTTAGTAATAAGTAATCTGTGGAGAGATACTTTGAGCCTCTGTAAATATCCTCTTCTCCAACCACTTTCTCCAATGGTTTTAGCATCTATTGCTGATTCTTGTCTGAATCTGTTATAATCACGTGGTTGCCTTCCAGGCTTTTAGAATGCAGCCTTGAGCACAGGACCTTGCTTGCAGCAGGCTGCCAGTGATGTTCTGCTGTCTGGAGTTTGTACAGAACCTGGAGTCCTGGACCTGGGGAGGGCACGGGTGATGGCGTGTTCAAGCCAGGACTTCCTTTCCTCTGAGCAGTGTGTGAGGCTCTTTGGGGGGTTTTAATAAGAAGCCCCTTAAAATCCTGAGGCTCCTCTGGCAAGTGCTGCTTATGATGGAAACATTTTGCTGGAAGCATCAGTTAGTCAGTAGGTCTTAAATATACTGGCTAGTGGTTGGAACTGGGTCAAGACAACAGTTTAACTTTGGAAGACAATGCTATGCCTGCAGTGTACCCCTGTCACTGATTTAAAAACCAGGTGCTTCAGAGGAACTGGTGGTTACTTGTGTCTGGGCAGCCCTGCCCCGAAGAGGCATATAGAAGGAGCGGACTCTGATGGCTGACTTTCCAGGAGAGCCCAGGCCTGGTTCAGCCTGGCCTTTGAGACACTCCAAAGGTGCCTGCTTCTCAAGCCCCTGGGTGAAGGGGGAACTGACCTTCTTAGGGGTCTGTAGGCAGTCCATCCCTTCCCATCCCCCTCTGTTCTCTACCATCAGTGACCACCTTAGCCTGCAGGAGTGGGAAGAACTGCCCCCTGTAACTCTACTCTGATCTCTCCAGGTCTAGAAGCTGGGAGGCAGCACAAAGCCTGCCTGAAGTTAGGCAGGTGGTTCTTCCAGCTGGACACATACTAGAACCCCCCTCCCCTTGGGGTGGCTTTATAAAATACTGATACCAGGCCCCACCCCAGGAGACTGAGATTTAGTACTCAGTGGGGGGCCTAGGCATCCATAAATTTGTAATCTCCCCAGGCAACTCCATTGTGAGCAGTAGAGGTGGGAAACACTAGCTAAAGTTATAAGAGTATACACTCTGTGACCCCAAATTCTAATCCCCAGTCAGGCTCAAATTACTTCCATGCTTTTGCAACCGAGGATGTGCGGGAATTCTTTTAAATTTCCTGCCCAGGTGGACAGGGAGGTTTTGCTTGGGATTGCACCACCTCCAGGTTGTCTTGCAAAGGGATTCTGTTTGGTCTGGGAGGGGGGATGGGGGTGGTGGTGGTGGTAGAGGGTGGTTGGGTAAGCTCAGGTGCTCATTGGATGAGAGAGCTGTGGCTACAGGTCATTGCTTGGACCTGTATGCCACATTACAACTTGACAAGGTTTTTGGAACAAGACAATCATTACAAATGCATTGACTACACACATCCACATCTTACCACATATTTTTTTATTTTTCCAAAAATAGTGCCACTCATGAAAACTTGGCATCAACTCCTATCAAAATTTAAGGCAGCTCGACTCACAAGGTCAATCCTATATCACAGGCATGCAGAAGATGAAGTTTCTCAAAGCAAAATGGAAGTGGGGCATTGGGAGAAGCAGACTGCAGGAGTCTTCCAGCACTGATTTAAACATTGTTTTAATTTGCTACTTATCTCTGTTGAGAAGCCTAATGCTCAGTAAGTGTGACTCATGATTTAGAGTCACACATCCTCATTGTCTCTCTCTCGTTCTGCTGACCCAAATTCCTTTGCTATAAGGGCTCAAGGGGTGTGATGGAGATATGAGGCCCAGGGGCTTTAGGCAGAAAGTGTCATCCTGTGAATGTGAAAGTGTCTCCCTAGAATGGTCACCACAGCCCTTAAAGAGTTTAATTCCATGTCACCTGAGGCTATGAGGACATGGGTAGTAGAAGATAACAGTGATGGGGCAAGGCTAGGAATAGTATAATAGGTGGGAACAAAGGATGGGATGGGAGATTTCTCGCTTTTCAAGTAACCAACTATTTATCAGGTCCTTTTTATATCTGCTCCCTCATTTCATCTTCAAACAACCCTGGGTGATAGAACTCATTTTATAGATATAGAAATGGAGAATTGGAGAAGGTCAATATATCCCTCATGCTCATTCAATCAGGAAGAGGGTGCAAGCCAAGTTTGTTCCTTTTTTACAGAAATGGGAAGTGAGTGAAGTTCAGAGATGGGGGTCCCGAAAGTGACGGGTGAGGCAGAACTGGGAACTGAGATGGAGCATCCAATGTAAGCTGGAAACCCACAGTGTTTGGGTAAAACCTTTGGAGTTTCCCTTCACTCCTATCTTTCTCTGCATCACATAACCAGTCCATCAGGGAATCCTGTTAGGGCTCAGCCTTCAAAACAGATCTAGAACATGTCCATTTCTCACCACTCCCACTGCTACCCTCATCCAAATCACCACCATCTCTCACTTGGATTGTTGCCATCGACTCCAGACATGTTTCCCTGGTTTCACCCCATATTTCATGCTCAACACTGCAGCTGAAGTCGTCCTTTTAAAACACAAGTCAAATCACACCACTCCTCTGATCAAAACTGTCTACACTACATGTAGCTATTGAGCGCTGGAATGTGGCCATTTGACTAGGAACTAGATTTGTAATTTTAATTAAATTTAAGTAGCCACATGTGGCCCATGGCTCCTACACTGGACACGTTCCCATGTGACTCTGAGTAAAAGCCCAAGACTTCCCAATGGTCCACAGAGTCCTACATGATCTCCATCCCCCACCTCTCTGACCTCCTCAACTAAGCTCTCCCCATTGCTCACTGCTGCAGCCATACTGCTCTCCTTGCTCCTCCAGAAGGTGCAGAGCACACTCCTGCCTTAGGGCCTTTGCTCTAGCTATGCCCTCCTCCTGGAATGCTCTTTCGCTATAGATCTATGGCACTCTCCCTCACCTCCTTTGGTCAGTTTATCAGGGAGGCCTTCCCTGACCTCACTATGTGATCCTTCCTCTCCACCTTCTCCTCCTTCCCTGATTTATTTTTCTTCTTTGCGCCTTCTGATTTGCTGTGTATGTTTTTCTTATTTTCTGTCTTTACCCACTAGATTGTAATATTTTGTCTGTTTTGTTCACTGTTATATCTAGTGCCTAGCTCAATGCCTGACACATAATAGGTACTTGGTGAATATTTGCTGAACAAACGAAAGAACTGCATTAGTGCTCTTACGCTTTTTCTTTTGTTGCTGATGTTTCTGAGAAATGAGGTTAACATTTCCTCCCGTTATAGCTTAAGTCTTAGACGTAATTGGAGTTAATTCTTTCAGTAAGAGAGGGAGGGGAGAATCCCCAAAGAACATGGTAAATAAGGAGTGATATTGAAAACACTACATTTTGCTACTTGTTTTTAATGCCTGAAAAGTTAAACCTATATAGAGATTTGGTTTATATGAATGCGGTACTAAAGAGGTTAAAGCAGTTATCCAGGTAATTCCCATTCCGAACATACTTGTTTGGAGACAGCTGGCAATTAAAGTGCTAGCAATTCAGAGAGGTGATTCCATTCTACTCTGTTTTTTCCTCATTCTCCACAGAAGCATGTTTTCTGGACCTGAGGGGCTTCACTAGAATCAAAGCTGCTTTCCCCTTTAGCTGTTCTTGTTCAGTCCAAAGTTGAAGGTTGAGACTTTGCAAGCAAATGAAAACTAGGAGAGGAAGTCACATGAATAGGAGAATCTAGTGGTAATGGAAGTACCACCAAGTGATTTCCAATGTCAGTCAGGTGATTATTGATTGCAAATAAAATTTATCCAAAAAGAAGAATTTTCTTTGCAATGAAGAATGAGTGTGAGCTGAAGTCACCTCCTAGACTGTGACTCTGCATGTGAACGTCAGTACAGGTGGCCCAAGCCTTCCTGGCCATATCAGTATGGTACCTGTATGCTTACAAGTAGACATGGATCAGATTGAAATTGTGTTCATGAGACAGTGATTGAAATACCTGCAATGACATCTGATACCAACTACCTGGAGTTGGGCTAAACTTCCCAGGTTAAGGGCAACACCCTCCAGAGACTGCACTCACTTCAGACAGCAACTGCAAACCTGGGGGTCCCCAGATCACCCCCACTTCTGACCTGCTGGCTACAAATTGGGGATTGCCACTACCACCTCAGGTGTGATAATTTGTTAGAACAACTCACAGGACTCAGGGAAGTGCTATGCTTACAACTGCAGTTTTATTATAGCAAAAGAATACAAATCAGAACCAGCTGAAAGGAGAGATGCATAGGATGAGGTCTGGGAGGGTCACAAATGCAGAGCATCCATTGTTCTGAAGGACACGACATGCTCCCAGCATATCAATGTGTGACAGTACAAAGAATATTATTGTCAATTAGGGAAGCTCGCCAGAGCCTCAGTGTCGAGAGTTTTCATTTGAGTTTCATCACATAGACATGATTGATTGAATCACTGGCCACCTGACTGAACTCCCCAGAGTTCCTGCTGACATCATGTGGTTCAAGCTCCAGTTCTCTAATCATGTGGTTGGTTGCATGGCTAGCCCCCATCCTTTGTCATCTTGGTAACACAAACTATCTAGGGGCCTACCATGAGTCACCTCATTAACATAAACTGTCAGGTGTGGTCCCAACGGAACATAGTAGCATAAACTTTCAGGTGAGGTCCCACATGTGTAACAAAGACACTCCCATCACTCTGGAAATACCAGGGGTTCAGAGGCTGCCTCCCAGGAACCAGGACAAAGGCCCGATAAATTCTTGTTATAAAATATCCATATCAGTATTCAGGCTGGAGAAGAAATAAATGAAAAGCAGAGCTGTTTGGAAAGACTTGGATTTGAGTCTAAGTGCACAGTATAAAATTAAAGCACAGAGAAGATTTATATTTTGGAGGATGCTGTGTCCTACTAACATGTACGTCCAGTGCTGCCTGTGGTACAGGCTAGCTTGTGGGAATTGAGCATCTTATGTTTATCCATCAAGGACACAAGAAGAATATTTGGCTGGTGTGTGACAATTTTTCACTACTTTTAATTATATCTTTCCTTAATAAATTAAGATGGTTCACTACAGGACATGTTTACAATAAAGCCCTGAGATTGAAGGGGAAAAGACTCGTGCCAGGTACTTAAGTGGGGAAGGAGTTGGAATCTGTTGTATCAGAAAACACTGAAATTGGCTGACATGTTTGTTTCTGAGCTTCTGAGCAGTCAAGGGAAGTAAGGAGAGCAAAGTCACAGGATTCTCATTAGATTACCGTAGTGATGACCCCTACCAAAAGATGGCTGTTTAGTTGTTGAATAGATCTTTCAACAAGGGCCTTTGAACAACGAGCATGCCTTCTTTAGCCATTTTATATAAGATGCCAGAAAGCCCTTCATACCCTCACTTCTCTAAATGTAACCCTAGGACCAGCACCAACAGCATCACTGGGGACTTCTTAGAAATGTGGCATACCAGGCCCCTTCTGAGACCTATTGCACTAAAAACTGCATGTCCACAAGGCCCATACGTGATTTGTAAGCACTACGATAATGTGTGAGAAGTGCCACCTCATGTAGCCAGCTCTTGTACTGAGTGAGGCATAGCACCTTGTCATAGAGACTGTGATTTCTTCAGAGTGGTAGACAAGAGGAGGTCTTGTCCCCATCTCACTGCTGTATTAACAATAGAGACAGAATTATGAGACAGTCAGGAGTGAATGCTTTGGGGTCCCTCAGACTCTTCTACTGCAATGTCCTTTGCTTACTTGGGCTTAAGAAAGGAATAGGGTGTCGGAACTTGCAGGTATAGGTATCTCATGTAGCAAGATGAATGGCAGGTTTTCATTCCTCTCAAAGACTGCTGCTGGTGTGGAGTTTAAAGAAACATGTTCTGTAGACCCTACTGTCAGGATGACACCCTGACATTCTTCCATGGGGCCCTCCATTTGGTACTTCCAAGTTTTAAAGGGCAGGATAAAATCAAACCAAACCCATTGCCATCAGGTTGATTCTGACTTATAGCGACCCTATAGGACAGAGTAGAACTTCCCAATAAGGTTTCCAAGAAGAGCTGGTGGATTCCAGTGGCTGACCTTTTGGTTAGCAGCCAAGCTCTTAACCACTGTGGTCTGAAATGGTCATACACGTACAGAGAGAAAGACACCAGGAGACCCAAATTTCTACCCCTGAGTTAATGATGGAAAAGAATTTTAAAATCAATATTTGAAGACAGAAGAAGGCCCTCTTTCTATTGGCACAAAGTTACACCTGAACCCAACATAAAAATGTTCTAGATTTTTTCACCAGCAGGAGGACTGGCTCTGCTGAGTAGGGGACCATTCCCTTCCTTTGGTGGCCAGGGGTCACCCAGTACTCAGGTTAGTCACAGAGGGCTGGGCTGGAGCAAGGGTCTGGTCATTTAGCTCAGAGAAGAGAAGACCTTTGCCATCCCTTACCAAGTGACAACCACCCAGGCTTTTATACCTTTAAGAAGAAAATAGTTACTTGGAAGAATTAAAGCTGCAAAAGCAGTACAATAAAAACCCTGTGAGTCAATTTTATGTGTTGACTTGACTAGGCTATTGTCCCCAGTCAGTCAATCAAACACTCACCTAGGTGTTGCTGTGATGATATTTTGTAGAGGTGATTAAAGTCCACACTTAGTTGACTTTAAGGAAGGGATAAACTGGGTGGGCCTGATTCAGTCAGTGGAAAGGTCTTGAGAGCAGAACTGAGGCTTCTCTGAGGAAGAAGAAATTCCATCTATGGAAATTTAACCCTTGCCCCAGAGTTCCAGCCTGCCCTTCCTGGCAACTCCAGTGTGAGCAGTGGGGGTGGGAGCCACTGTCTAAAGGTAAAAGAGCACACACCCTGTGACCCAGAATTCTAGTCCCCAGTGAGGCTCAAATTATTTCCTTGCTTTCACAATCCAGGATGTGAGGGAATTCTTTTAAATTTCCTGCCCAGGTGGACAGGGAGGTTTTGCTTGGGATTTCGCCAAACCTCCAGGTTGAGTTGGGAAGGGATTCTGTTTGGCTGGGAAGGGAAAATGGGGAGTGGGGGGTGGGTAAACTCAGGTGCTCATTGAATGAAAGAACTGTGGCTACAGGTCATTGCTTGGACCTGTATGTCACATTACAGCTTGACCAAGGTTTTCAGAACAAGACAATCATTAGAAACACATTAACAACACACACACTCACATCTTACCTCAATATTTTTATTTTTCCAAAAATAGTGCCACTCACGAAGACTCAGTATCAACTCCTATC